GCGGATTTCTACGACTCCGTCGTGTTCTCCCTGTTGCTGGAGTACCTGCCGTGTCCGGAGCAGAGATACGCGTGCTGCGGAAACGCGTACGACGTGTTGAAAAGCGGCGGCATCCTGATCGTCGCGAGCCCGGACTCGAAGCACGTTGGCGCGAACGCGAAACTGATGAGGTCCTGGAGGTACGCGCTGAGCCGTATGGGATTCATGAGGATCAAGTACGAGAAACTGCGCCATATTCACTGCCTGGTGTTCAGGAAGTGCGTGCGCAAGGACGTAGCGATAAGGTGGTCCGAGCTGCAACGCTTTTCCGAGGCCGACAGGAGATACGCGTGCGAGACGAAGATTTTTATCCCGCAGGACTTTCAGGCTACCCGTTCTAAGGAGGAGCGAGAAAAGTTGGAGTACGAGGAAACTGATTTAGCGAGCGCTTTCTCCGAATTGCCGTTCGATAATGAAACGTCAACGTGACGATTCTGTTTTTATTCTGACGTTAAATGAAATCTTTTGTAAGGTGCTCAAAAATTTAATTTTCGTATTTACTATTGTTTACTACGCGAGGTAAATTGTAAAGTACAATTTTACCCAAGTTGTAAAATCCCATCAGGAGTTTGGCGTTTTAAAATTTTCGCGCTAAGATTAATTTTTTGTCGGTTGTGGCAATGGGATCGAAGAGAAGTGTTACGTTCCTTCTATGATGTACATTTAAAAAAAAAAGGTAAGAAAATAACGCCAAGTAACACTGACCGTCTTTAATCTGCACTAGTTTAACAAAAAGGACTCGATTAATGACTGTCACTGTATACGCGCCTCGTTGTACTAAATTAACACACTAAATTGTTTCATCATTTGTATAAATTGTATAAAAGATCTGATATCAGAAACTAGCGTCAACTTATAATTATCATTAAAATCCAATATAGTTATTGTATTTGTGTCTGTACACTATTTTATTATGCTCTTATACACTATAATTGTTTCATCATTTGTATAAGAAAAACTGGCGTCAACTTAATTATATTGTTGTCAAAATAAAATTTAATCTACAGTTATTGTAGTTGTATTCTATATGTATATTACTTTTACGCACCAGTGAGTAAGTCAGTTTATTTTATTTGTTTATAAAAGATTTGATATACAAAACTGGCGCTAAAAATATATAGTCATCAGTAAAGTCTAATATGATGTCTATCATGATGGTACTATGCAATCACACTATTTTGCCGTAGATTTTATTACAAATTCTAATTTATTAAAGGTCAAGATAAAACTGTCGTACTTTGTGCACGTGACTCGTGCTGTATTGATGCGATACTTAGGCTGCGGTCCACTTGACGCTACAAATGCTTCGAAGCATTCCTCTTCTCTTTTCTTTCAATGAAGAAAGAAGGAGAAGAAGAACGTTCCAAAGAATTTGTAGTGTCAAGTGGACCGCAGCCTTAATTGGTTCATATAAGATTCGGGCGCGCCTCTATGATAATATCATCATGGGCTGTTACTTTGATAACTTTCTTTGATATCTAATCAACATACTCGATCTTTATCTCACTTGCCTTGAAATTCTTAGAGCTTACGTACGCATCTACGAAACAGAGACTAATAAATAAACTGTTCTCTCGTCAGTCTTCCAGCGTATTCAATATGGACAACGGCAGAATCGAAATATGCGTGCATGAGGGAAAGTTAATTGGTATCGTAGAGAAATGTGTCTACGGCAATGACTACGTCGCCTTTCGAGGAATACCATACGCGAAACCGCCGATTGGAGAACTTAGATTCAAAGTGAGTACATAAAGTTTTATTATTATTATTGAATACATTTTCAGAATAAAATGAATTAATTTTAGTTTTGGCCTAACTGATCGCTTCTCACATCTTAAGAAGATTAGAGAAATACCAAAAATATCAAAAGTCAACTCTTTTAGAGAAAATTACGATTAAATGATACCGATAAAACTATTTATCAGTTATATCGCATAATTATTATTATATAATTCGTTTTTCTAGTATCTATAGTCTATACATATGTAACAATAAAATATCCCAGATAACAGATAACATGCATGTTGCATAAGACGTCGTAAAGATATCTTAGTTGTCTTAAATATATCTTTACGACGTCTTATGCAACATGCATGTTATCTGAGATGTTACATAATGTTATTTAGAAAAATACTTTAATGAGCAACACCAAAGAAGATTACGATAAAAAAATGTTCAGGCGACTGCTCGGAGAAATGATTGATTTCAAACGATTTATTTCTAATTAATGTAAATTAATCTTTGAATTTGTTAAACAATTTATTTAGAATATAAATTAGTAATTGAGTTTAAAGGTGTTTATCAATATTGTATTATGAAAGAAAACATCTAGCGCACGCCGTTCCTGATTTATGCAGAACTTAAAGCGCTTATTCGTTAGCTTATAAATTGCTCTCATTTAAGAACTACTACTTGAACGCAATATTTTACGTAAAGAAGAAGTCGTTTTAGCATAGAGAATCGCACGGTACGCGCGAATTTTGGAAAATTCTATGTACTAATGGATTTTACGTATTTATTAGGATCCGGTACCAGCGGAACCATGGTCCGGTGATAGAGACGCTTCGAAGCACGGAAACGTCGCCGTCCAAATAGATCTGTTCACACACAAAGTTGAAGGCGATGAAGATTGTCTTTATTTAAATGTGTACACGACGAAAATCGAACCCTCGAAGAAACGCGCGGTTATGGTGTGGATACACGGCGGTGGCAATTATAAGGGTTCCGGAGATGCATCCTTGTATGGCCCCGATTATATCGTGAATAAAGATGTAGTTTTGGTCACCTTGAATTATAGACTAGGCGTTCTAGGTAGGTTTCGCCATACAATCATTGTATGTCATTTGTGGTATATTTTACACATATATAGTAAATGTTTATTATATATATTGTATCTATTATTTCAACGATTATTTCACTTGGATATATTTGATTTCTTACAGACCATATAGTTCTAAAGTCAATTTTAACATTAAAAAAATATAGTCTCATAAAAGAAAAGTTAAATCCACATCTGTTTATAATACGTTTACAATTAACGTTTTTTTTTTTTTTTACTTTTTGCATATAAGTTTACATTTTGCTGCGCATCAGTGTGCTAGACACAATTAGTTTTATGGCGCGGTTTACTTGGGATATAAAGTAAATTTTACTTTTAATTTAAACAAATCGACTTTGTGAAGAAATGATGAATTAATGGCTTCAGGTTTCCTAAACCTTAAAGATGAGGTGGCAACGGGCAATCAAGGTTTGAAGGATATAATCATGGCATTACGATGGGTCCAGAAAAATATATCAAAGTTCGGTGGAGATCCAGAAAATGTCACTATCTTCGGTGAAAGTGCTGGTGGAACTTTGGTACATTGTTTAACTCTGTCTCCATTAGCTAAAGGTACATACAATATATTTTGTCGATATAGGCTTATCGATACACTCACAATAAGTTAGAATTCTCAAACTCATCCTCTTATCCCATCAAACACTAATACGTTTGGATATATACGTTTGGAAAAATAAAAAACCACGAATCTATTAAATAGATAATAAATTCGTTCTCTTTTCTTTTGGTTAATTTTGAATAATATATTTTAAAAAAAATTTGTTTGTGTAGGTTTTAAATAATTAATTCAAATTTTAATTAGAAAGTCATATTAGAGTGAAATGTTAAGATTCATAAAACAACTAACAATTTTTCGAGAAAAAAATAGAAAAAGAAAGAGAAATTTTTAGATAAAATCGATTACAAAGTGATAAGGAATCAAAATGATTACTAGAATCTGATGATTGATAAGATAGTTTGTGATATTACGAAAAAAAAAGAAAAATTTTATTATGACAAGATGTATAGAACTAATTTGTTACGACTGTTTTACAGATTTATTTCATAAAGCGATATCGCAAAGCGGTGTCCTTAATCCAATGAGGTGGTCTTTTACCGAACATCAACCACATTCGATGAATAAAGGTTTTCGGCTCGCTGAGAAATTTGGAAAAGCGACCACGGATCCGAAAGTCGCTTATGAGCTTCTCAAAACAATCGATGCGAAAAAGCTTATAGAGACTGAACAAAAGTTTCTCTTGACAGAAACAGTAATTATCTGAACATTTAATGTTGTAATTATACAATTAATTATTAATGAGTGCAATAAATTACACGCTACTGCTTTTAGATTATGCGAATAAAATACTTTTCTTCGATAATATTGTCTTTGCAGGAGCGTAAACAATCGATATCATTACCCTCTTTGGATCACGAATCATCGAATCCAGTTTTTCCGGAAGATCTAGAGACGTTATTGTGCCGCGGAGTTGAAGTACCATTTCTTGTAGGTTTTACCAGTCACGAGGGATCTTTTATTATAAGCAGTAACTTTTACGGACGTGAGTTTTGTTTTCATCTCCATGAAGTATATTTTTAATTGCTTTGAATATTTATAGAATGTTTTCTGTTAAAAATAACATAACGTTAGTATTAGTTGACTTACCATGCACTGTCAATGTTTACAATCAAATAAAATTTTCACGAATAATATTGTACATACATATATCTATATAGAGTTAGCAAATTTTATTAATCCGTAATTTTCGAATGCGTGTATAAGAATCATAATTATTCGTCAGAAATATATTTTTGTTTCAAAATAGCGTTTATCGTACGCTATATTATGCTTTGTCTATATAGTTAATATATTACACTGTGTGTTGAGATAAATATTATATATTATATGCAATATTATCTATATCATTTATTTTATTGAACCACTTTATATGAAAAATTTTAAATAATGTTTTGACAACAGATTTTCTTTGGCAAATGTGCTTAAATCGCAATTATTTCTTAACTTGAAAAAAAAGGGTTTATTAAAATATTTATTATTTATTATGCAACGATCTGTATAACGGACAGTTCTAAAATGTCTTTAAAATTATTTCAGACATAAGCAAAGAAGATTTTAAAACAATTAATTCCGATTTCAAGAGCACCTTATCGCCCGGATGTTTATCAAAAATATCAAAAATGTCAATCACAGTCGAGGAATTGCGATCTTTATATTTCGGTGATAAAGCACTGTCAGAAGAAACTCTAATGAATTACGTTGATTTTCTCAGTGACGTATTCTTCTGTCGCAGTATAATGGAAGTAGTGGATATTCAGACAAAATTGAATAATTATAATAACAAAGCGACGTATCTGTATCAATTTTCATACGAGAGTGAAACTTCTCCCATGAGAAAAATATTTGATATTCGGATTCCAGGTATTATCACTAATTAATTTAAAACTATCTAGCGACTTTTAATTTTAGAGAGAGTATGTATATCATAATTACTCATATCGTAATTACGACATAAAATAATTGTAAATGTTTCTAAATTTTTTAATTTCTAAATTTATATGAATTTAAGGAAACAAAAAAATAGTTCTATTTTATAATATTTAATTTACAAAGTAATCTTTTTTAAAGTATTTAGAAGGTTATTTTGTAGATTTAATTAACGGTTAAATGATGATAATATATTTTATAGGTGTGTCTCATTCGGAGGATCTGGGGTATTTGTTTTATTCTAGTATAATGAAAAATTTCGGCTTGTCACCACTTGCAGTTGATTCAGAAGACTATAAGATGATGAATGGTTTAACGCAAATGTGGACAGATTTTGCTAAAACAGGGTACGAGAAATTTAATTTTTTTTTTGGGCGTGTTTTTTTAATTACGATATTTCAATTTATTAGTCACATTAGTCACATATTAATGATTACTTCTCAATCTGATTTAGGAACCCAACGCCTATTACAAATTTCTGGTTGCCGGTGACCGGTTCACAAAGCGGAAAATACAATTACCTGAATATCGATACAAATTCGCAAATGAAAATCTTTTCTAAAGGAGAAGAAAGATGGGATTGGGAAGAGAAGAAGAATAAGTTATAGCGCTAAAATTTTATCTACGTTAACATTTTTTTCCGGGTATTTTTTGCGTTTATAATAAATACTCTTTTGTTATTTTTCAAAGATATTTTTTAATTAATGGAATGTGGGTACTATTATTATTTCTCTTAAACTCAGGATCAGTTTTAGTTAGTGAAAAGATGGAGATTAATGTAAAAAGTAAGAATATTATCTGCGTAGATTTTGTATTAACTTAATTATAATACAACAATGATTGAAAAATTCAACTCATCAATGTATGATGTGTGAGATAAGTTATTATGTTTATATAGTTTCTTATATGTATATTCTCTTATGTTCTATTACTTGTGTATTATAATAAATAGTATATATCACATATACATATCACATATACATATATATATGTATATGTTACTGTATATATCATGTGATTTAAATTTTTAAGATTTCTACTTTTTAGTATAGAACTTGTAATGTTTAGAATTTCTAATTTATAAAATCGGGACGCTTTAACGCTATTTTATATATATTCATATTAATCTCATATGTGTATTGTTACATGTTTATTTCTTCAATATATATAAGAATAATATCTTTATTAGTTTTTGCTTCTTTCTCATTCCACTTTGTAACAATTAATATTTTATATTGATTAAAATTAATTGTAATCTATTTGAATAAAATAAAGAATTTGTTTTTAGTCTTATACTATGTTTACGCGAGCGTTACTTTTGATAATTCAATCGTTTATGCCTACGCGGAGTAAATTATCGTAAGTTATTTTGCGTAAAGTTACTACAGCTACTGGCGTAAACGTAGTATTAGTCCCGGAGAAATTAACCAATCACATTCGAATGTGAGGAGAATAATCGAATGTGATTGGTCAATTTCTTACGGCTTAGGACTAGCATTTATCTTAGGGAAAATCTTCGAAACGACCTGACAATCCTGACCTGACATTCCGACAACGGCGACAACACTGTGTTTCCCCCGCCATCTTGAAGAGTTCTTTCTCGTCGCTTCTTCTTGCTGGTGCACGTGGTATGTTATAATTTCGCCTTTATTATCGGATTTAATATTCCTTTTAATAATCCGTTGCGTCGAAATACTTATTTAACGATCGTGAAATATTCTAAGTTATTAAACATCTCCTGTAATACAACAGTATTTACGAGAAATCATCTCTTTTACGATGTTGGGTATACATAACCTATCAACAAACTATTTAGTCGAATTTAATAGATAATAGTTGATTTAACTAAATAAATCTATCTTGTTTAGAATGTACAATCATAATAAAAAGCGTGATGCAATATAATACAAGGATACATATGAAATTGTGATGAATTTGATAATGATTGTAACAGGAAGTCCAAGATGTCGTC